CTTCCTTAAAGTCCTTCTATCACCCTCCAGTTGACGTAGTATTGAACTGATTTCTTACGTAGCAGATAGCTGCTGTCCCAGGTCCCCATGTGCCTCCTGGTCCTACAGGTCATTCCATTCTGTGGGGAGCACTAGCCAGACCTTCCTAGCTGTCTGGTGTTTCTGCCTGTGCTGTCTGAGGTGTTAAGATGGTGAATGTTATCCTCAGATCTACCCCAGTAGACCTTGGTAAAGATGGCAAGTCCTTGGAGGGGTGTGTCTGTGACTTGTGCTTTTGCCTTGGCTCTCTTGCCCCACATCCCTCCTTAATACCTCACCTTTCTGCTGAGTGACAGCAAACTTCCCTTGGTTCCTCTCCCAGCCTCGTGACCACTTTGAGCCAGGCTCATACTAATTCTTTACTAGACTGCCCTCTCCCCCCACCACTTCCATATTTCCTTGACTGTACGTTAAGACCCAGACTGGGTGTCACCTCCAAGAAGTCTCACCTAACTGCGTCTGGCCAGCCTTGTCATATCCCACCCCTGGGCCCTGGGTTTCTCCTCATCATCATGTGGTCACAATACCCACCCACCTCGATACCCACTCACCTCATCCTTATGATTATGTGTGTGAGCAGCAGGGGTCTGATCACGTGGCAGATCAGCTGCCTGAGGCCTCCTTGAACCCAGAACCTGTCCCCAATGGGCTCCAGGTGGAATCCAGGTGCCTGTTTTTCACTCCTGAGAGTACTGCAGGCTGTTCTAATCTCCTCCTCCCCCAAAAAGAATGATTCTTTATGCTGTTGTTATAATCTAGATATGCACATGTAATAGGGTAGGGACTATACCCATGAAACTATTAAGTGATGTTAGAAGTCAGCTAGTGTTTTGAGGTCAGCTGTAGTCTAGCCAAAAAAGAATTGATTCTTTATAATTAACTTGAAGACGGTTTTCCTTGCACATCCCACATTTCTCTCTTCCCAGACACCTAGGGCTTTAGCCCAGCCGAAGTCCTCTCCATTTCCCACCCCATTCATTATATTCTCACACTTCTACCTTGATTCCTGCCTTTTGCCAAGGTCTCAGTCCTTGCCTGCTTAGAAGACACTCTACCGCCAAGGCTCTGTGCTCCTCCTCTTCTCCCACAGGGCTAGTCATCTGCTGTAAATCCCCGGGTGCTTTGTTTATTCTCTGGAATGGTTACAGGTCTTACAGTGGTGAGTTGGTTCGTAGATCATGTGATGTGACTCAGAATGTGGTCTCTGCAGCTAGGTGGCGTGGGTTCATGTCTTTCCCTCCTAACCAGCTGTACAGTGCAGGCAAGTATCTTCACTTCTGTGAATGTCAGTGCCTTGCAGTGAATAGGGGCTTGTGAAATGATGGTACCTTACCCAAAGGGTCATTGAAAAGATGAAAAGGGCAGATGTGTTGACACAGCAGTACTCAGTCTGGATCAGCTTTATTATTACCATTTCTTGGTAGTGGGGTTCCTGTTTCCCTTGTTAATTTATGAGTATTCGATAGCAAGGACCTCAGTGTCTTTCCTTCGGTGTCTATAGGGTCTGTCTGCACAGGGCCAAATACAGAGTAACCAAATGTCTAACAATTCTTGAACAAAATGAACATTTAACAGATAGTTAGAAATGAATTCTGAAAGCACGTATCATCCCCGTTGTCTATAGGGACATAATCAAAAGGTAGTTTCCAGCTAATAACTAGTTACAGACAAGAAATTTTTCAGGGCATACCATACCTGTTTACAATTGAGTGACTAGACAGGGAAATGTGAATAAATTGGTATTTTGTTGTTTTGAATCCAGTGGTTTTGACTCATCTTGATTTTAGTGATAGAATTCTATAAATGTTAAAATACTGCTATTTTTTAAACCATTTTAATGTATTATATTATGGAGGAAGTCCATATCCCTTCCCCAGACTTTAAAATCAGATCAAAGTACTTTCATGTTAAAATCCATCATGCCATTTATCTTTTTAGTGTAACGCCATTGTTAACACTGGAAGGCTTATGAATTTAGTAAATAGCCCCACGATAACATTCCTTTCTTGTGTGTTCATACTTTTTACCGATTTTGGTATGGAAATTAATACTGAAACAGTTACAACATCAGAACATGAGGTTCTGGCTTACTGTTGGTTAGTTGCCACTTTCCTCTTCCTGTCCTCTAACCACCATCTTCCCCGTGCCAAAGGAATGATGACCTCCCGTCGCTCTGTGGGCCTGGCTGCCCCTCACAGCCCTGTGTCTATCCTTCTTTTGTTACAGGGGTCATTAGGTGTGTTTAAGAAGGTTTAACTTGGGTTAAAGGAAACTGAGCAGTGTTACCCAGTTTCCAAATGCTGAGGCTGCCATCCGAAGCCTGATCTCCTGCTGTTCTTGGCCCCGCCATCTTCCAAGATTATGTGTTTCTCAAGGGTTCTCAAGAGAGACTTCTAATTTACTAACTATAATTTATGTGTGTATAGCTCTTCCTCGCTGCTGTAATCCGTGCATTTTTAAAATCCACATATGATTAATTGAAATTATAAACTGTAGTTCCTGTCTTCAGGCCAGCAGACAAAAGGTATAATTATAAGAAATGTAACGAATTAAATAAGTGTTCTGTGATGTCCAAAATTAGATTTACAACTTTCCCATTAATAGTGATCATAATTTCTTTTAAAGAAATGAAACATACATGTTTTATACTCTTACTGTAAAAATCTAAACATTATTGATATAGCTTGAGTTCATCTCTCCAGCACCCCAGGGCTCCCTCTCTCCATCACAGTGAACCTGTAATTATTATTTAGTAATATTCTTTATTGTGCTTGGGAGAGAGTTCAAAGCCATGAGTACGTAAGGGCTGTAGTAGATCTGTAGTTTCTGTCTTTCAGCGATCTGGAGTTTTTGTTTATTGGTTTTGGTTTGCTTTTTACACGTTTAAGCCTAGACTTTCTTCGACTTCAGAGTATACATGTTTCCTTTTTCAGCTCTGTTTTAAAAAATACTAGTTCTGGTTTTTAAAAAGTCATTTTGACTTATCATTATTAAAGCTTTCCAACAGAGCTGTGTTTTATTTTCATGTAATTTTGTGTTCATAGTAAGATTATTTTCTGAATTTTATAGTACTTGTTTGAATAAATGTCTATCAGCTAACACTTCATTGGGATTAATTGATTGATGTTTTTGATTTTTATCTTGGTTTATATCTTGTTATATACCTAAGAGAAATTTCTGTGTTTTATAG